TCACTGCCAGAGGCTGGTCTGCGTCTCCTCCAGTGGCTTCCACGTCTGTGCCATGGGCAGGGTTCGCCTGGGCCCTCCTAGACAGGGCCATGATGGCAGGTCACCTGGCAGGGACCTCCAAGTCCCTACCAAGCCAATCACTCCCTGTTCTTTCGCTGCCTTGCGTCCAGGGCCTAGGTCAGTGGTCCTGAATGGTGGCAGCAGTGTGGGCCAGGTGCTGCACCTAGGACATAAACATGCTCAGCCGGCCTGGGCCCTGAGAGGGAGGAGCTGTTCGGCAGGCCTGGGACCGCCCCCCTCAGCATGAGAGATGCAGAGGTCTGTGCTGGGAGGCTGGAAGCTCAGCTTGGTTGGGGGAAAGGTGTTGCTCAGGGAGAGGAGAGAAGGGCCTGGGGGCTTTGGGATGTGAAGCCATCGGGTGGTAGAAGGACAGTCAGGACCTATTCCAAGCTGGACCCCACACATCCTGCAGGAAAAAGGGGGGCCTCCCCGCCTGTGTGATCAAAGGGAGAAGGGCCCCTGGGGAAGACACCTGGAACCTAGGTCATCGAGCTCCCCCCTTCCCCCTCCCGCGAGAGGTCAGCACCAGGACTCTGGCCTCCTGTCCCCTCCCTGCACTTCCTCCTGCCCCCCAACCCTGCATGCTACCCTCAGGTACCCTGCTTTACTTCACGTTCTCCATAATCTGGTAATCTGCTCATACTGTTGTCACAGTGAGCTTTGCAGCCAGGCCCTGTCAGCGACCCCTCACCTCAGGCTCTGGGCAGACTCCTCCGGCCGCACCCTGGTGCCCAGCCTCCCCCTGGAATCTTCTCCCCACTTTCGCACCAGGGGTGGCCTCCCCAGAGGCCAGGGCCACGTCTGTCACTCAGTCTGTCACTCACTTCTGTCCCCAGCACCGGCTTGGAACAGCTCAGTCCATGTTGACCTAAGTCATTAATTTGAATGAAAGATGGAGCCAGGAGGCTTGGGAAGAGGGTGGTCCTTGGCTAGACCGGGGAGGTCTGAAGAAGCGCGGCACAGGTGGCGGCTGGGCCCCTGCCCAGGCTGCTGCTTCTCCGGGGGCAGGGGCGGCACCCTTGCCTCCAGCTGCACAAGGAAGCACAGCCCTCTCCACACCTGGCCTGCTCACCTGCCCGGGAGCGGATCCCCGCCAGTGCTTTTCTCTAGGTCCAGTGAGCTGTGGCCAAAACGCAGGGTGCCCCCCTCACACTAGAGTCTCATCCGCCTTCCCGCTCTCCCTGGTCT